AGCTTCGTCATCACGTAATCGAAGGAATAATGCATTCGACGTATTCAACTGATTCGAGATATTCACAGCGAAAGGGCAGCTGCAGACTCTGCAAGACCATTTTCTAGACTCTTCTGATTGCCTCGTGACTAAGCTGAAGTCATTGTAAGCGCTTGGTTTTGGCAGTACTCTTCTTTATTGAGTATTTCGGTTGAGCTCAAGCGGCCAGATAAAAGAGATGTGTTTCAACTATAGCGTTCTGCGAGGTACTGGACGTACTAAGAAAGCATTCTAACACTTCTGCAGGTACTCAATTACAATACTCTTACGCTTAAAAATAATCAGGTCGCTTCTGGGGGGAACGATACAAAGAGTATTTTTATATTATGTCAATTATACAGAACGGTCGTATTTTGACTTTCCCCTGTTTACTGTATAAAAGACAAATACATGTCCGCTGTACATATATGCCTGAATGTCTACCATTATGACCACCATCATAAGCGTGTGGAGCAAAATCGAAATTTTGGCTTTTTTTTTTTACTCACGGGGCGCTATCTTTTGATGAAAACTCGCTTCTGTCAGCATTTGTTCCGGATCTAAATTACACAACTTGTAAGTGATCTATCGTAGCTGCGTGTGTGGCTGCTGGTCAGGTTGGTACAAGTATAAATGGAGCATACATCATCACGGACTTCCAAAGCGTTACTGTCGTACCGACCCCAGTCTAGAACAAATTGTGTTTTCACCAAAAACTCTGCATTTGAGCGATGCAACTGATGAACATTCCGGCCAGAAGTGAGCAGCTAGCACAATTTATCAGTATATTATTGATTTGCTTTCTGTCTTTTCACTTACACAAGCGTTTTGATACATTTACTGTACACACATGTATTATTACGTGTATATTTGTGTATTTCAATTATACAGACGTATTTTGTCTTTTAGCAACAAAAAAAAAAGTGGTGTCAACCAGCTCGATTTTTCCATCCGTCTTCCAGCCAATAGCAAACCGTCCCGCCTGATATTTTTTTTCCTGACGGTGTGAAGAAGGCGGCGTCGTGGGTCATCTCCTCACTCTGCTCGTGTGAACACCAGCGCGTGATTTGGCTCCCCGCCACTTCGGCTATGTGCAGCACCGTCCTGCATTACCGACCGCGCAAGCTGCAGGTTCTGGCGTCTACTACAGCCTTCGTAATGTTCGCAAATGCGCTGGCATTGGCCGCTTCTTCTAATAGCGACATCCTCGCTCGCTGCGAGAGCCTCCAGAGCGACACAGCGGAACTTACAACTCCAACAAATGAAAATCTCCCCGCGGACGTGGCAGCCTCGCTGACCGCGCATTCTGACGCTTCCTGGAGTGACCTGGACGACGCCACAAAGGTGGGACTGCTCTGGCTACATGGCTACGTGTTCTCTGGCGGCACCAGCAATGGTAACAAGGCCGGAGACGATGTAGTCCAAGTCTACACTCGCTGCTCTACTGGATCTACAACAGGCGTGGAGATGTCGAGTATTGGAGTCTCATACGACGACTTCACTGCTCAGTGTGAGGCTGCACACTGTGGCACTTACTACCAAGCCACGAACGCCAATTGTGTGGCCAATGTGACTAGTTCTATTCAATGTGCAGTTGATAAAGGGACTTCTATGCTGCCTACAGCCAACGACGTATCATTCTGGTCTTCTGCAGAGTCCACCAGTACTATTCCGTACCCTCAGGCTTATCAACATGAAGTCACATTGACCGACACAACGGAGACATTACAACTGTATTCGGTCCACATGCGGAATGACGATACCGGTGTGTCGTGTGGTAACACACTGGATACGATCGTCCCGTGCTTAAGACTGGAGGACGTTACGGTGTCTTCAGACTTCTGTAAACCGGCAGTGGATGAAGCTACAGTGACGAACTTTTTATCATCAATGAGGACATTACAGGTCAGCAAACTGTCGGACGAGGACGTACCACCGGACAGTGATAGCAACATGCCAGTGATCCTTGGTGCTGGTATTGGTGGAGCTGTCCTTATCATTGTCATTTTAGCCATTTGCTGCTGTCGTAAGAAGAGAAGGCAGCATACTGGGCAGCTATCAGAGACTGCAGCTCTCGGCACGACACATGAGCAGAGTCAAGCGAGTGCTACACGGTCAGGACTGGGTTTTATTCCCCGCGTTATCGGACGACGCGGCAAGAACAGCGACAACGACAGTGAGAGTTCGTCCAACGCTGCCACTAATGTGAACGTACAGACTAATCGAGGTCGACGGTCCTCGTGGTACACGTTCGGTAACGCTAGCAACCGCGAATCAACAGCATATGGACGTCGGTCGTCTATGGCTGGTACGTGGGTTGGAGCTGCAGCTGGAGGCAAAACAGTGAGCGAATACTGCGATGAATCGGAGATTTTGACAGATTTTATGCAAGACCCGGAGATATTCACAAAGCGCATTGCCTTTGACGAGCTTACGTTCCTGCGTATGTTGTCAAAAGGAGCGTATGGTGAGGTGTGGCTGGGTCAACTGGAGACTCGACATGTGGCTATTAAACGTTTGTTACCGGAGAAATGCCAGTTCACAGCCAGTTTGGAGCAATTCGCCGGGGAGATTCAACTAATGTGCACTTTGCAACACCGTAACATTGTCTCGTTCGTTGGTGTGAGCTGGAATCGGCTGCAGAATCTGTGTGCTGTGGTGGAATATATGGAGGCAGGAGACTTGGATGAAGTACTAAAGAAGAACCGAGACAAGTTCTCGTGGCAACGCGAGAAGATCTCCATCGCTATGGACATCGCAGAAGGGCTGGTATACCTGCACTGCTTGCGTCCTGTGGTCGTACACCGCGATCTCAAGTCTAAAAACGTTCTTTTGAACCGTAAATTCCACGCCAAGTTGAGTGACTTCGGCGTAAGTCGCAAGACTCACGTGAACGAGACTATGACGTCAGGAGTGGGGACTTTATTGTGGACTGCGCCGGAGATTATCGAAGGCAAGAAATACTCAGAAAAGGCAGACATTTACTCGCTTGGTGTCGTGTTATCAGAGATGGATACATGTGAAGCTCCGTTCGCAGATGTGACGTCGGATAAAGGCGAACGATTGCCAGGGATGCAACTGGCTCAACTTGTGCGACTGGGGAAGATTCGGGTGTCTCTACGTAAGGATTGTCCGCCTAATCTTCGTAAATTGGTCATGGAGTGTACGCAACTGGATCCCGATGCACGACCAAGTTCCATGCAAGTGGCCTTCACTCTCAAGAGTATTATCGCCCCGACACTGCGGGTGTCAACGTCGACTGCTACGACAGCTTCTACGTCGTCTTCCAGTGGCTTCCCATCCAGCGGAAGTTACTCTACGGCTAGCCAGGTGCTGCAAGGACCATCGCCTAAAGTCAGAGGCAGTCGTATTTAATCACCGGTCTTGCTAGATTTATTTCTATGTTGGCTCGTACAAATGGCCCTGCCTGCTCGACAACAACGTCACGTCTCCATTGCGTTCTTCACGTCTTACACTCTTGCTCTTCGAAGGCATGACGCCGTAATGATAGATCTTCAATGTCCATTTAGATACAGCTCCGTAGTCCTCGTCATTGCACCAAGTAGCCACAATACAAACATCGGTAGTGTCCTGCGTCCCACGTAACATAACTTTCTCACAAGCCGGTCAGGTCGATCGCGTAGTTGCTGAAGTCGCGAATTTCTTGACCCAGTCAAGCGAAAACAACGAAATGTATTAACGCATTGTAGGCGTCTACGTGATGACAATCCACGAATCAGTATCAAAGTACCCGTAATAACTATCCTCAAGTGAAGGGTAGAATTGCGATGATAAATAACGTTACTTCTCAATAGCATGTAATCAAGTTGCCCCATTTTTTGTTGACACTGCACAAAGCGAGCGACTCTGAAATGGTGCTGTCAGCAGTTCTCTCACCCGACGGACAGTATTGCGTGAGTAGTACTTACGCTACCATGGCACTGGGGTTCTTGACGACGACAGACTTGACTATTCAGATGACATGATAGAAAAAAGAATTGTATTCTAGACCTTTATGCACTCCTCTTTCTTTCTAGAACATGAAGATCTGGTTCTCCTTAAAACCGATGCTCTTCAACATAATGCTCACTGCTTCGTCAAATGTCGGTGGTCCACAGTGGAAAGCTGCCACATCGGGTGAAGCCTTTGGCAGCATTTCAGCGAGCATCGTTTTGTCCAGTCGTATGCCAGTTTTGAACAATCCCAGCTCACTCGAATCATCATCACTGGCCTCGTGAAGCACATGGTGCACCTTGACGCGATCTGGGAACATATTGGCCAGCGGCTCCAACTGCGTGAGTGCAATAATGTGCTTCAGCGAGTGGTTGCAGTCCACGAGCGTGATCTTGGTCGTGTCCTTGTTGTTTTCCATAATTGCACGGATAAGCTGCAGCATAGGAGCGATGCCCGTGCCTGCCGCAATCATCACAATGTGACGGACATTCGTCAGCTTTGGCTGACCACCCACAGTTACCACCCCAGCGTCGGGATATCCGAGTACTCCTTGTGGTCCCAGCATCTCCACTGTGTCTCCAATCTCCAATTTATCCAGATAACTGCTCATGATACCGTCCGGATAAATTTTAACCACTAAATCGAAGGACGCAGTCTGGGAGAACTTGGATGTGGGAGTGTAGGCTCTCTCGATCATATGGCTATTTATCTTGGCTCGTACTTTAAGGTGGTGGCCAGGAACCTCAAGTCCCAGTAGTTTATTACCAGGCAGCTCGAAGGTGAACTTGATCGTTTGGAGACTCACTTTTTGCTTAAGAGCCAGTGTAAATGGCCTCCATTGGGTTTTATCGAGAGCGAATCTGGATGCTTCAGAGTTTGAATCGGTCGCTACAGAATCTGGATCTAATTGACCGATGTAGCACTTTTCCAGCATACTGTGGCCATTAACCCACGGGTGTTTTTCGTTAAACAGGTCCGTGCAGTCTCCACCCGCCGATAGCATCAGGTCTGCAATGCCTCCTGGGTGGAATTTAAGGTACGGCGTCATGTTGTACACCTTGCCGTCTAACACACTCCAGCAGTCTTCTTCGGTACAGTGGCGACTCACTTCTTCCATCGAGATGGCACGACGAGGGGGACCACCACGAAGACCGGATAAGTCTTGACCCGATTGACACAGTCGCATCCAGTGCTGGATAGAGATAAGAGTTAGTGGCGGTGGGTGGAGGAGAGAGGTGTACGCACCAATTGACTGTAGCCTGGAGGCAGCGCCACCTTGTTGCGGCGCTGGACCATGGTCGGACACCCTCCCATCGTCGCCTTGTTCGAAGAACTATGGTTCACTTTGTGAAAGGACTTTATTTTAGCCAATGAGGCTGGAATATTGGTCGCTCCACGTCTTTTTACTTATTGTCCAATACACTGACATTTCTGCTTACAAATTTCAGTTTAGCGAGTCCAGTTTCTTAATGCATGTATACACTCCTGAACAAAATTATACGACCACCCAGTTTTTCCCTTATAACTTTTTTTCTACTACGAGTTTCGGCTCACTGTTTAGATATGTGTCGTACGTACCCACGAGAAGCACAACTACAATGAGAAACTTGCGGAACTCTCACTATGAAGTTAGGCTGTCATACAAAAATCGTTTTACGGCGCTGGAGAAAATATACGGCCACACGACTTTAATACAAAAGTCAAGTCAAATGTATTCAAATGACTATGCCATAAGCTCTAATACTGCGTCTTGTTATCCTACTTCGATATGACCTCGATACAACGTCCAGGCATCGAGTCCACCAGCTTGCGCAGGTAAGTACCGTCGATAGTTTCCCATGCAGCTAATATAGCAGCAGTCAGCTCGGCCACGTTGTCGTATTGCTTCTCGTTGTAGTAGAAGACCTGAGTCATCATGGCCCAGACGTTCTCGATTGGGTTCAGGTCAGGTGAACGAGCTGGCCAATCGAGAACGCAAATGCCCTCCTCCTTGAAGAACTCCATCGTGAGCTTCGAGCGGTGGATGGAGGCGTTATCCTGCTGGTAAACGTGGTCAGTTCCATGCTGTAGGTGAGCAAACGGAAGCATATACTCTGATACGGTGTAGACGTAGTGCTCCGACGCCTGTCGTCCTTGTAGAATCGCTAGCTTCGACTTCCCAGATGCGCTAAAGCTTCCCCAAAACCATAACTGAACCGCCACCATTCTGACGGCGAACCGTCAGTCTTGCAGGGCGCCTCACATCACGCCAGTAATGGCGAAGGCCATCTGGTCCATCGAAGTTGAACTTCTTTTCATCGGAAAAGATGATGCGTGGCCATATTTCCGGCAGGACAATCATGCGCGTGGCCCAATCGAGACGCGCCAACTTGTGCTACTTGGTCAGAGGAAGGGTGTTGTTCATCTTCGCGTAATCCAGCCAGTCGACGCTTGCCAACAGGCGGCGGATTGTTCGCGTCGAGCACGTGCACTCGAGCAGGCGAGCTGAGCTGTAGTTTCCCGTGGCAACCTTCCTGACGACTCGGCGTGCTTGGCGCTCGAGCAGCGACGGGTCCCTGTCCACTAGGCGGCGGTGGCGCTTCTCCCTTCAATGCACGCTGCACACAATCACGAGATCGCTTCAGTTTCTTCGCAATTGCTCTGACACTCAGCCCGCCTTCGCTTAGACCTTGAATTCGCCCGCGCTCCGTCTCCGTAAGCGATGGTCCTCGGCCCATCAAAATGTAGAATACCATGGAGCGATATAGCGAAGCGCACGCCAACTGCCGACAGCCAGAAACGCACTGGTGGTTGGCAGCGTGTAGATCTTATCGCATTGTCATTTGAATACATTTGACTTGACTTTTGTATTAAGTCGTGTGGCTGTATATTTTCTCCAGCGCCGTAAAACGATTTTTGTATTACAGCCTACCTTCATAGTGAGAGTTCCGCAAGTTTCTCATTGTAGTTGTGCTTCTCGTGGGTACGTACGACACATATCTAAACAGCGAGCCAAAACTCGCAGTAGAAAAAAGTTATAAGGGAAAAACTGGGTGGTCATATAATTTTGTCCAGGAGTGTATTGTTCCGTTCTAATCTAATCAATTCGTACCAATTATATTTGGGATAAGCACTGTGCTCGCAGCTGTAGCCAAAAAAATTTTTTCCAACAACGAGGCTGGTAACTTACCAGTGGTAAGTAGCAATCACATAAACTTTGTAGTTTGGCAATCTTTTATGGTCCTGGAAGTTACTGTTTGCCCTGTTACAGCGCATCACCTGCAGTACAGTGTCTGCTGTGTCGGCCATGGGACTTGGGAATTTGGAAAAAATCAGTATCAATACAATAACTCTTGTGTATTTTGTAGGAAATTACTCAACTTCCTTTTAATACTTCGAAAATATGTAAATTGCTTTCGCAATAAAGCATTCAAAATGCAAGAATATGCCACTGTCGGGATAAACATTTATTGCAATAATTGGTCAAAATACCATATTATTGATCAGCCAACCCAACTTGAAACAAAAATAACATATTTTATTTTCCAACCTATGGTGGTTTCAGTGGTTTTCCAATAAAACTTCACTTAAAATAGTTTCTGTCAAGTGATACATCGAGTTATGGACAACGCAATGAGAAGCTTCCAGTTGAGAAGGACAGTCACAGGAATTGTTCCCACGTCAGACAGGCTGGGAATCACTGCCGCTCAGTCTACTTCTCGCTTCGCGTCTTGGCGACAGTTAGAAGAACAGTGGAACCGAATTCAGGTTGGTCGCCAGGGATCGTACTCTGTTGAACGTCTCATGTGTTTAGAGAATTACTGCAATACGACGTCGTGGACTCGAGTGGTTTTGATCTGCGCACTCACTCCAATCCCTGCTCTTTTGGTAGCCGTGCTGCTTGAATGTCTCCCACTACGGCCACCGTCCGAGGGGTGGGTAGCAAACTGGGTGTTTTGGCTTCGTGTGTTGTTGACAAGTGTTCTGCTTGCCTTCGGTGGGTACTCTCAACTGGCAGCATTTGTTCCGGATTTGGAGTTTTCTGTTTGTAAGCAATTTATTGTAGGTATGGGGTTGGTTGTTGGGCTGATCGGCACATGTATTCTTGCAGCGGAGATTATCGGGTTTCCTGTGCCGCTTTTGATGCAATTTGGTGCTATTCCAACCGGCTTTTTCGCGGTACTCTTGCTGCGGCTTGTCGTTGGATCTGGCGTGTTTGTGGGTGGTTTTCCTGTCGTGGTTCGTATGAAGAGATTTCATCGGTATTTTCTTGCGTTAATTGGTCTCTCTGGGTTGTATCCTGTCTTCAAAGTGTTGTACGACAGCGTTCCTCTAGCATATCGAGGTGGAGTGATTCTCGTTTTACCAGTCTGGAGATTTGCAGCAAAGCACTTTATCGTCTACGTTTCTCGTGACCTGGAAGACATTATACCAGAATCTGTGGCGTTTCTGGTTGATTTTTTCAGCCCGCTCTTCGTATCAGTGTGTATGTCATCCTCAGGACCATTCTACTTGTCTTTCCTGTTTATTGCAGCAGATCTAAGCCAAATATTATTGGAGCTTCGTGAATTGAGTGGCAATGCGAAGGTGGTGTTGCAGCTCATCGGGCCACAGCTACAGGATCCTATTCATCCGCGAAGCTCCACACCAGAGCCGACAACATTGCTGACGGTAATTATCGACGCGGTTGAAAAACCGGCAGTGTTTCAGGCGAAGTCGTTGGAATCTGTGCGTCTCTGGGCATGTCTGCCCCATTATCTTACAATTAAACAAGTTGAACAGCTCGTCAATCTGGAAGCCTCAGACGTATATTGTCGGCGGAATCAATTTTGTAGCAACAAGGCGATGAGATTTTCACAGCAGCCTGAACTCAAACACAGTGTGTCTACTTTACCGACCCCAAGATTCAAACAAGTAAAACCCTCATCGAAAATTCAACCTACTAGCGATTCGATTCGCGAACAAGCAACCTTTCCAAACAATCCCATATTACTGACAGAGAATGCGAACGAGTTGGTCCTAGCGGGCTTAAAGCTGTTCTTTCACTGCGAATACATTGCATTGGTTGAGTACGTTGAATGCATCACCCCAATAATTTACGTGGTGTACAAGTCGGTCCTGGAACAGTTGCCCAATATTGTCTACTATCCTGGTGGTGCGGGTAATTGGAACAACTGCAGCGAATATTTTGGTGCTAGCAACTACGGAAGTCGGCTCTCTCGTTTTCCTTCACCATTTTCTGCAGCGCAAGTTTGCCTTTTCTTCATTGCACCAGCTAGCGTTCGTATTGGAAAACCAGGTTTATCTTGTACAGGCGAAGCTATTTGCTGGAATCCTTCTTCTGATACCGTTTCAGCTGAAGCATTTTGGTACGTATTTCTTATGTTAGTGCTGGGTTAGAACTTCCGGAACCTCTCAACAAACTGCAATTCCTTTATATTGTTTAGGTGCCGATTTTAGTCTTCAATTTGAATGGCTTGATGACAACTAAGTTGATGGACGAGGCTGCTATCAGATGAAATTGTTGTATTTTGTTCGTACCTCGACATATTAACCACTTGATCTGTCCCTTTTACGACATTGATACATAAAATGACCTCGATTTATTTTAAATCGTGTATCCAGCTTAAGTAAAAAGCGACAAAAGTTGTGCAAAGTAAGAATTTTTGTATTCAGACATGATCTGATTTTAGGTCGGATAGTTTAGTTAGGCCTAAATTCAGACCAGGCGATCACAGCCCATTATTCGCTGCATTTGCCAGTGTTAGGTATGCAGAGCCAACGGAGTGTTAGAAGTGCATATTCCCTTGGCGGATACCCGCTTTGATCACATTTACACGGGTAGTTTTGAATGATTTGCTGAGCTAGTGTCATTTCTCGATTTACCGCCCAACGAGAGGTAAGCGTCGTCACTGGGATGTTTATCTAGCTTAAAGGAGAGGTCTGATAACGTTTCCGACTGCTGCATCGGTTAAAAAATGCCACAGAAAGCTCGATAATGACGGGATTATCGCTAAATGCGAAATCCAGGGCCATGTCCGAATCAACCTTGGCAAGGCACAATATTAACTAGCTGGTTAGTCACGTAGTTAGCTTATACTGGTAGATCGTTAGCTAGTATATGTTCGCCAACACCACGAAAAGTGATTTTAAAAAAAAACTTATAATCTAAACGTTATTATGTTCCGCTCACTCTCGCTCGATAAACGAGTGCAGGAAATACTTGGACGGTTATTTTTAAGTAACCTCTTTCAGCAGGATAATCACTAATACGCCAAAGAGCAGAGATTGACTGCCATCCTAGTCTAATATTATTCTTACCCACCATCGATGGAAATCTACCTCACTAATGACAGTTTTACATACTTCTCTAATTACTACTGTCGAGCGTTTAAGCTCGTGGTCGATTTACGAATAATTGATATCGATATCTTGTAAAACGACCCATTTTGCAGTAAAATGAATGTTCGTCTTGGTTTTTTTTTTTTGATTTCGGACTAGTGATTGGCAGATTAAAATAACTTATGTCATGATGGGATACGCTATTTCATATCGGGAATTAGTTCCATCCCCCTAATTTAGGGACGTGGGATTGCCGAACGGTACCTGAGTAAATTGTTGTTACTGTTTCGAGATTGGTACAAACTAGTAGTCTACTGCCATAAAATTGTGGTAGCCTACCCTGATTGCACCGAAAACAATTCACTGAAGCTATGCCACGTTTACTGTCAGAGTTTTTTTTAATGAGCTTCGAAGTATGTTTATATCAACCTATACAACGGGTTTTGGGTCTTCCATAACCTAAACAAAAGGGTTTATTGACTAGGTTGAGGGCGATTAATAACCATAACGAATGATATTTATGAGTCCACATTTTTGTAAAAAAAATTTTTTACCATATCCCGTTTAAAAAAACAATAGACTTTATCTCATTTTAGAAAGAAAGAATGACTCGAAGAACGGAACAGCATAGTATCGGCGTCGGGTAAGGCAAACACTTATTTACTGTCGAGCCATTCGAAGCGAAGGCTAAAGTCGGCGCCTAAAATAGTGAAATTACAGCTTGTAAGCTTTCCAAGTAGCACTTAATCTGAGAAGAAAGAAAACAACTGCGCTCATACGTACCTAAATGCTCTAGTTCAAACGGAATGAGAACAAGGATCCCGATGAGAAGCTTCACCTGGATCAGATAGGCGTGGGTTTCTAATACGAACGCAAGCTGGTGCATTGCAGAAATTGCAAACTTTCGCTGCAAAAAATGATGCAGCAAAACGAGAGAGCCGACTTCCATCATTGCTAAAACCAGAATATTCACCACCGTTGCTAAACTCCAATTACCCGCACCACCAGGATAGTAGACAATATTCGGCAACTGCTCCAGAATCGATTTGTACACCACGTAAACTATTGGGGTGATGCATTCAACATACTCAACCAATTGGAGATATTCACAGTGAAAGAGCAGCTGCAAACCCTGTAAGACCAACAGCTTAGACTTCTTTAACCCCGAACCGGAGCCGTTTGGACGTGTTGACTGTTTGTTCTTTGCATTGATTGGATCTTGAGTTGTAGGGGAGGCTATTTCATGTTTGAGGGTTGAAGTCGGTACGATAGAAGTCCTTTGTTTAAATCCATTTTGAGTCTGCAGCAGAGATTGTTTCATATGGTTGTTAGAAGATGGGTTCCGCTGATAGTACACACCTGATTCTTCCAGATGAGCGAGCTGTTCAACCTGTTTGCTTGTAAGAGAATGAGGTAGACAGGCCCATACACGCACAGGTCCCATCGACTCCGCTCGAGACGCTCTAGGTTCCTTAGTCGCTCCGAGGATTCTCGTCAGCAATGTTGTCGGCTCTGGTGTGGAGCTTCGCGGATGAATAGGATCCTGTAGCTGTGGCCCGATGAGCTGCAACACCACCTTCGCATTGCCACTCAATTCACGAAGCTCCAATAATATTTGGCTTAGATCTGCTGCAATAAACAGGAAAGACAAGTAGAATGGTCCTGAGGATGACATACACACTGATACGAAGAGCGAGCTGAAAAAATCAACCAGAAACGCCACAGATTCTGGTATAATGTCTTCCAGGTCACGAGAAACGTAGACGATAAAGTGCTTTGCTGCAAATCTCCAGACTGGTAAAACGAGAATCACTCCACCTCGATATGCTAGAGGAACGCTGTCGTACAGCACTTTGAAGAGAGGATAGAACCCGGTGAGACTAATTAACGCAAGAAAATACCGTTGGAATCTCTTCATCTGAGCCACGATAGGAGAGCCACTCGCAAACGCGTCAGATCCACCGACAAGTCGCAGTAATAGTACTGCGAAAAATCCGGTTGGAATGGCACCAAATTGCATCAAAAGTGGCACTGGAAACCCGATAATCTTCGCTGCAAGAATACTTGTTCCGATCAGCCCAACAGCCAATCCTGTACTTGCGATAATTTGCTTGCAAAGCGTAAAGTGCAAATCCGGAACAAATGCTGCCAGTTGAGAGTACCCACCGAAGGCGAGCAGAACGCTTGTCAATGACATCCGAAGCCAGAACACCCAGTTTGCTACCCACCCCTCGGATGGTGGCCGTAATGGGAAACATTCAAGTAAAACAGCAACCAAGAGAGAAGGTATTGGAGTGGATACGCAGACCAAAATCACCCGAGTCCACGATGTTGTGTTGCAGTACTGATCCAGACTCACGAGACGTTCAATAGAGTACGATCCCTGGCGACCAACTTGAATTCGATTCCAATTTTCTTCTAGCTGTCGACATAATGCCACACGAGGAGCGGTTTTATCTGCTGCTGAAGGGAAAATCGATGTGTGTGTCCTCTGCATTGCGGCGTACCTTAAACTCGTTAGTTTACCTGCCAGTCGACTCCGCTGACGCGAACGATAATACTCAACGTAGCGACTATTTCAGGCTGGATGAATGGCCTTCGTTACTAAGTATAGCTGTCGCATAGCAATAACTTACCTGAAGATACAATTAAATTGCACTGGAATGTCCTGACATGTATAAGCCTTAGAGGTAAAATAGTACTGCGAAGCGGAAATACAGCCACCGCAGCCACATCCCGGAGATATCAATTTCATTCGCGCAAATATGTTAACACTGATAAGAAGAGACTACTACATTCTCAAAGTCTACTGCTATTGTGAATTCCGTCCAAGTTTGCCGATTTGAGTCTGTTTGAGGAGCGGGGATAATTGTTGTAAATCAAAAAAAATTTACAGAACACAAATTGTACTATTAAGCGAAACTTTTAGGTTAAGTTTTCATCCGCAGCTAATATGATAACGTAGGACAAGTAGTCAACTACCATTACCTTTTTCCGTGGAATAGCAACAATATTTCAATACATACTCGGTAATATATTGCTCAAGACGCGAAAAACGATACATATTTCCTGTCCATTCTCTATTGAATGTCTGCGAGATTGATTGTCAACGCCGGGTTCTAATCGGTGGGGATCAGCAAGTCACCGACAACGTTCCCGTCGGGGGTGATGCGGGCGCCGTTGAATACGAACGACACGTCTTCCACGTTGCCAAGAAGCTGCAGTAGCGATGACAAAATATCAATCTGACTGTAGATCCGTTCAATGCGATTGTTCGAGTTGTCCCAGTCAAAGCGCACGGAACCACGCATAATTAGGTGCTGGTCAACCATCTTTCGGACAAGGCGGGACCCTCTGCTTTCCATGCAGCGTATGCCTCGAACTATGCTACCATGGAACAAGTGAGGGAACGCGCTCATCAGTGATCGTCTGCTTATGGTGAAGCTTGTGATCGTGGTGCCAATAATCGAACTGTCACCAATCTTCTCTAGACGCTGGAGCTGCACTTCGACATCTTGGAAAAAATGCGTAAAGATTCCCCAGTTTTTCGCAATGGCTGCGACGACATCCGGTGCATTTAACAATCGCAAGAAATCGAGCTGAGCTGTTGGTGACCCGTTTGGAGCGTGCAGACCATGACGAAACAAACGAAAATAGTCTGTCACGACAGACCACAGGGCGAAGTGTCTCTCGATCGCGTACGAGAGCCCGCGAATTCGGCTTTGTAGCTCCTTGATATCTTGTCGTAGCTGGATGTTGCCATCCTCCAAGCTGTCGTGGAAGCTTTGTTGCTTCATTCGGTATCGTTGCTTGTAAATCCGTTGACGTTCTCGGAGGGGCAGATGGGTTAACTTGGAGCTTCGACCTGGCAGAATGGCTGACTTGGTTGCTCGTTCTTCACATGTGTATGGGTATCCGACATTCACTCGAGTCGTATTGAACCCAGCTGTGAAAAATTGACGCTGCCTCACGGTACCAATGACGTCGTCAGTCAAAGCGTCGAGGTTGGGCGGGCACAGAGAGTGGCTTCGCATGCTGCACGAGTGTGTTATTTGGGATGCTTGATGTGTGGAAAATACCATAATGACAATTTGGACCGCTTGGACTAACTCAGACAAACACACACATACACTCTGTGTGGTCATCACTTTGCAAGTTTACGTTATTCAAAAATAATCCTATCCGATAAATTATTATTCGCCTCACTAAAAAGGCAGCAATCATGGCTGCGACATTCGGGATCTACCGTGATTTTTTGTAAGCTTTTGAACATGTCTTCATCAATGCTTTGTGAAGACACGTTGTTCACGTCCTCCAGGACCACCCAGACTATTTTCATATCCATAGCTGTGTCTTAGGCTGGGCTCTCGATCTCAACAGAGGCAGTCACAGCGCCTTGTTGGCGCATGCCAGTGCGCTGTTATACTGTAGTACTCCGTTGCGTTTTTGAAGTAGCCTCGATGGGCCTTTTCTCGCGCATGAGAACATCTCTTTGCCCTGGTTCTTCCATCAACTCTCACGTCCTCACCACATGTAGTGATTGGATGACCTCCATCGCCCCTCCACCACGGTGGCACCACGTGGTCGCGTGGTCCACGAAGACTGTCGTGTCCGGCAGCACATCTTTACGCTCAACCAGGCCCCATAATTTGCTCTCTATGAACTCGAGGTCCACGCTTACCCAACTAAAAGGGATAAGTTGCTTTAGCTGATAATTATCTCGCCTCTCGTTCCTGTTAATTCGACGTGAAAATGCACAATTAGGCCCTTCCACAGTTTTACAAATTCACAAACCTAAACTTCCTGGCGATAAACATAGTTTCGTAGCTATATATCTATCTGCTTTACGTTAAATGTACCAGGATTAACGCCCGTTAAGCTTTAGAATGGAGCCCGCGGTGTATTTAACGTTATATATCCAACCTCCTTTGAAAAAAACGAAGCAAATTCGTAAGTAATCAATACCCGTTACTATTATCGTTTCTTCCGCTTCATATGACATAAGCGATGGTGCAAAATTTGTCATTTATGGTAATCACTAGGGCCAGCTTACACTTGTACTTTTCAAACACCACCCTATCCGATAATTATCCTTCCAACAGTCGCTTCATAAGTGCGTGGCCGTAATCTACGAACAGCATGTAGAGAGAGTTGGGCAATTTTTGTATTAGGACTCTATAGTCGGCTTGTTACGCCGTTTCTTGTTCTTGCTCTTCTTGGGTCCCAACGGCTGTTGCTGTTGCTCAAGTTTTCGCTTCTGTCCCTGCTGCTTCGGAGGTTCCGTCACCTCCACAATCTCCTGCTTATTAGTCTCCGTCTCCACGTTTTCCTCCGTCTCAGCAGCCTCATCCGCTGCCTTCTGTGTTGCTTCCTGTTCTCTCTTCATCCTCTTCACCTCGCGCTCCTGGTGTTTCACCTGTTTCTCCTTCTTCCGTCTCTCCTTCCTCGCAGCTTTAGCCGCCTCTTTCCACTCCAGAAACGCCTTGGTGCGCTTTGTAGCCAGCGCTGTGTCCAGCCACGTTTGCTCTGTATGCCATTCGTTCACTAAAACCTTCTGCAACAGCGATGGGCTCTGCAAAGCGACAGATTAGTACATGCTCTCTAACTGTAGGTGGATCTCTTTCTCCGTCTTACCAGCACGTTCATCTCCAGGAAGCCATTGCAGCCGCAGTTCTCCACCTTTTTGCGTCCCAAGATATCGATAAACTTGTCCACGCAGAGCTCGCCGCGGCTGTTGGTATCGATATCTCTGGAGCGATAAAAGTCTAGTAACTTGGAGTTCTGGGACTCGGTCGAAGCGACGAACAGCAGCTGCAGGTCGGAGCCCATGGAGATCACGCGTCCGTTGACGATCTGCAACTCTTGCAGCCACTCACGCAGCACTGACACGTACTTAGAGCGGTCGCGGAAGTGGTCGATGCGCACGAGCAGCAGCTCCATGTCCAAGACTATGACTGTAGCTCCTTAACCAACAGACGCCAATAATGTCTATGATTGGTTAGAATTCCAACACTGTTATGATGAACTTCAGTTTAACGACATATTCTACGGTTAACGAGCTCAGAAGCATACAGTATGACGCTAAAGTGTAGTTGAAGTGATAAGCATCAAGCTCAGCACATGAAGAGCGGATACTTGGCGCCAATCTTGCGGATGTTGCGATGCAATGCCTTGCGCAGCGGGATCAAGTAGAACTCGAGCGGTGGGTTGCTTGAACTGGAAGAAGAACCACCGGTAGACAAACCGGTAATACTGAAGCCAGCGGGAGACGATCCTGACGAAATTGGAGACGTCGTCGCGGATGTTGCGGGCGTAGGAGCACGTGATCCAGAGCGTGGAGGATGGTCTGATAGATAAAACCAGCAACTAAAGAGGATCGAGCGGATATCGGCGGGTGTAGTCAATGGCAGCAGCTCCGCAGTCTTGGCCAGAGGCGCAGGCAGCCAATTAGTCGCTCGTAGGAGCCGCATCAACTCGCACGTGAGCGCCAGTTGATTCCTGTTGCGCATATACGGAGGCACGTCCACGTTCTCCACGCTCAACTCGCCTTTGACACTGTTCCAATGACCCAGTAAGACAATCAATACCGACTTGAATACCGGTACCAGTCGCAGTAACTGGGAAGAACCCAGTACCGTCGACGTCGAGATTACCGTTCGAAGTACCGGTAAAAACGCCGGAAAGTGGTTTAACCACTGCTCTATCCGTAAATCCACGTCGAAACTCGATCGATTCGGCAGCATGTCCTTGTACACGTCGTCACTTGGGATGCCACAGCACGGTATCACACGTTCTAAGAGCATATCCACCACGATCTTCAATCGCCGTTCCAACTGCTCGTCCTCCTCGGTATTCGATATCATCTTGGCTTGGTGAGCATCAGCCAACAGACTAGCAGCCGTTCCAGTGGATGCTAGAAGCTGAGAGAAAATCTCTGTAGCGTACACACTACACACGCGAGCAGCGTGCATCTCTCGCTCCCAGGACGAGTCCAGGGTTTTGCGGTATACCAGTTTTGCTTCAGGAACCTTCGTGATTACCTGGGACGACTGCAAATTTGTACACTTGGAGCTGATAGTTCGTTCGCAGCGGATAATCTGACGTTCATCCAGATTTCCATCGTTTAAATCGTTAAAGTTGACGTCGTTCGGGAAATGTGTCGGTATACTGGTAGCGGATGTGGTACTGAGTAGTGAATCCAGCCATAAGGACGCAAACATGCTGTAAACGGAGGAGGAATAATGCGCGACGCCGCCATCCAGCGCTAACACTCGGAACAGAACCATCTTGAGGGTTTGTAGACGACTCGGCAGAGCAGTATCCTCAGGTAAATTCAGTTCACTGGAGGTTTTATCACCCTGTCGTACGAGATCTGCTCGATACTGCCGCAGCAGCGAGAAATACACGCTCGATAGCTTCTGTACACATCGGTATTGCCAGTTCGGGTCCTCGAGAGATAAGAACGGGGTCCGAGACACAAGAGAGAGCGCACGGGAAGCCACCAGCGAGTCCTTGGAGCGTGCTAAGTCCAGAAAGCTCTCCCAGAACCCCACGCCACGCACACCTTTCCACAGCTCAAAGGAGTCCAGACTCGCAGTCCAACTCTTAGCGCCAGCCAACTGCTGCATACACGAATTACCTTGTCCTGCAGTCAAGTTAACTGGTAGGTCGTTCTCAGTCATTTCTTCGGTATCGTTCAAGTTCAGTAATGTTTGGATAATACCGAGAATACGTCGCTTGGCTCGTGGAGCAGCAGATTGGCACTCATGCACTATACTACGCACAAACGCGACGTACTCAGGCGACGCAGGAGTCAGCAATGAGGTCAGCAATTCGCACAACGAGCGATCTGCGTCTTGGATCGCTGTAAGCGGATACACGACCGGTAACTCGTTGAACTCTGCCAGCATCAACTCGGCCTTAATCAGCTGTTCCGTCACTTCTTTTCGAGAGATCGACTGAGCCAGTAGAAGCAGCCACTGTTTCCACTGGTCAAAGCGTTGACTCGCTGTCTCCTTGGACATTTCTTCATCGTCTGTCATGCTAATATCCGACGTTTCTTCACGTGGATTCATCACTTGCAGCAGTCGAAGTATACCCTGACAAATAAAGGGGAGGAAGCGGTAAATCCCCTTAAGAAACGCACATGACATCTCTGATCCAGCGAAATCCACCAGTTGCTGCTGAAATGAAGCCACAGACACTGCAAAACGTGGCGATATCTTCGCTGTAGACAGGTTTTGGAGCAGTAATAGCAGCTGAAAGCCGGAGTTCGACAGCTCGGCGCTTCGTTTGCGGATAAAATCCAGCAACAAGACATTCATTCCTTCTTGCAGGCTCACATTCCCATTGCCACTCGTCTCTCCTTCTCCAAATTTCGTGGCTAGTGACATAACTAATTCATCCGTGACAATCCACTGTAAATTATCGTCACAGACCTGTACAAGCACAGCTGAATCACTTGCTACCGCCACAAGACGCTTCACAGTCTCCAGTGCTCGTGTTTGGTCGCTAGAAACGCATTCTTCCAGTACTTCGCGCAGAATATCCATCATCTGAGCCGGATTCTTCGTCGCCAAAAAATCCAATACGGGAATAAACTCCGTCATATCTTCGTATCTGGAAATAAATGCGCGAAATATAAATTCCTGTACAAAGTACGAATTCATCTGAGCAATACAAGCCATCATCCACGTCCAGTACTGAGGAGTAGATCTCGTAAGACTCCAATCCAGCACCTGAGTCAATAGCTCCTTGCCTACTAAATCCCCTGCACCGAGTACTGCACGTCTAATAGCGCGCACCAGTTGAGCGTACAGTGGTTTACTCGGTAGTTTGGCCAGCGTCTCGTCCAGATCCACACGATTCTTCTCTTGATCCAGAGCTAGCAGGCTCTGTACCGACTCCTTCTCGTCCAGCAGCTCACAGAAGCTCAATGAGAGCTTCACCACGTCTTCGAGGACGCTACGTCGCGCGAACTGCGAGTTTATTATGCGCTGTAGCTGGTCTAGAGCCTTGTGCACGTCTGCGCTGTTGTCAGCCGCCGCTTTGGCTCGACGACTCTGTTTGCTCTTCTTCTGGCGCTTAGAGACGGGTCCAGTCTCGCTCCAGAGCTTCTCTAGCGACGTGTGGAGCTGTGTTTGTAGGGTTTGGAGTTCGGGAGTCTGTAGAGTGGGCAGTTTGGGTGCTGGGGGCTCGAAGACTGGACTTTGGACGTCGTCTGCGGCGCTCATGAGGCTCGAGAGACCTGGCGGGCTGCTGACGGTATCGCGAGGCGTACCGATGTCTTCAGAGAGGATAGAGGACATCATATTCGATTCCAGCGGCATCTTGACGGGGGCGCCGTAAAGGTTTGAACTGACAGAGGTCTTTAAAGTGAATAGTGACAGTACTAACTGAAGAATCGAAATCAATAATTTCGTTTTTGAGATCGATCTAATTTCGATATCAAAGCTCTAATTTCGATACAAGACCGAAATTAAGATCTTGATTTTGATCGTCATTGAAATTAGAGCTTTGATTGCCGTATTACATGTTTAAAAAATTATAAAAGAAATAAATTACATCAATTTTTTGGGGTACGATGAAATAAATTCAAAAAAGGTACTCCAATCCCAAATCGCAGCAAACAGAAAAAGAGAGTGAGTGCTGCGCCCAACTCGATTGACAAAGACAGGCAGTCGATTTTAACCTACCCGCAAAGATTTATCCGTCCTTCGTATAGTGTGGTGTAGCGATTCCTAAGTAATCGCTGAAGTGGCTACATTCAAGTTGCTCAAACCACGAACGCTCGGCCATGCGACAGGTGGTGGTCACTGTGCAAGATGGCCACGGACACGTTACTACCAAGCCCTC